TGAGATGCCAGTGTTTGGATCGTTGAGATGGGCTGAGTGGCTGCTGGCATTATCCACGACGATCAGTGTCTTGTCACTGATTTTCTCGATGTACGGGATGACATGATTAATAAACCAGTCTTCAAACATATCTCCAGTTATCCAGACTTTCTTGTTTGATTTCCATATGACTGGGAGCCGAGGTTGGAGCACATTTTTAAAAGCAGGAGGTCTGTCAGCAGAGTGAATGACGAGAGGTTTCATGCGCCGAGTCCCTGCGGCATTAGCACGGAGAAGCACTGCTATTCTGTCCTTACTGGCCTTAAATCGTGGAGCTTTGGCTTCTGCCTTCATTAAGTATGTCTTCTTTGGCATCTTTTTCAGTTTAGTCCTGTCTCATCACAATTCCAGATTTGGTCTGGAGTATAGCCACCTTCCTCAACCACATTTTTCCAATCCCTCTTAACTTTTTCCACTGCAGCTGTGTCGGCCGATGCAGCTTCCCCTGACAGAGACATAATTCAGCTCTCTTGATGAAGCTGTGAAGCCAGCCTTGGCTAGCTTGGAATTTACTTTCACTTGTTGGCTGTCCTTCTCGCTGAAGCAGACGTGTCTGTATAGTAAGTCCTCGCTTAACGTCGGGGTTACGTTCCTAAAAACGCGATGTTATAAGAAACAACGTTAACCTGATCAATTTTCCCCATAAGAAATAGATAAAATATGGGAGTTACGTTCCTGAGCCTCCCTTTGCTCCATGAATAAAATTACATATACAGAAAATTATTGCCATTTCTATAGAGAATAGTAAATAGAACTACAGTACTAAGTTTGTATTGGTACTCACTGATGGGCGGAGGTGGTAGAGTAAGTGTGTGGTGGGTAGTGGAGGAAAGGAGGAGGAGGGGAGGGGAGGAGGGTGGTGAGTCACTGAGACTGCAGCTGCCTCCTCATCCTCCTGCTCTGACTGGGGTTCCTCCGCCTCTGGTTGCTCCTCCTCCGTTGTTGTTTGCTCCTCCTTGGCTGCCGGCTGTTGTGAAGAAGCTGCTTCTGCCGTCCCGTGACGAAAAAATCAATCCAGAGTTGACTGCTTGGTGCTACTCATCTTCTTCTCCTTATAGATCTCAGTGTAGCAACCAAGACTGTCATCAATGCTGCGTTGAACCATTGAGCTACAGTCTGTTTGGGTCGTCATATTGAAGCAATTTGCATTGCTTGCTGTATCATGTTCAATGATTCTGCCACCCTCTTGGAAGTTAGTGTTTGTTGAGGTTCTTCTTCATCATCTTAATCTTCAATGGGACTGTGTTCTGTTAATTGTTGCAGATCTTCATTGGTGAGCCCATCAAAGCCTGCCTGTCTCGCCAAGCTGAGGATATCCCTATTCACAGCTGGGACTAAGTCCGTGAATCCCGTAAAACTGTTGACGCACTCGGGCCACAGTTTATGCCACACACCATTCAGGCAACTTTCTGAAACCTCTTCCCATGCCTTGCCAATGTTGTCAATTGCATGAAGAATGTTGAAGCTGCGCCAATATTCTCGGATCATAGGTTTATTTTCTCCGTCTGTAGCCTTGAGCAGCTGGGCCATGGTAAGGCGTAAATAATACGCCTTGAATGCGGCGACGATGCCTTGGTCCATAGGCTGCATCAGTGCTGTCGTGTTGGGAGGTAGTAATACAACTTTTACACTGTCAAATCGGCGAGATTGGGAGGATAAGCTGGAGCATTGTCAAGGATCAGAAGAATAAAGTTAAGGTTCTCCTTGGCACAGTATTTCTTCAGTGCAGGGATGGCATACACCTTTAACCACTGGCTAAATATGGCGCCAGTTATCCATGCCTTCTTGTTTGCCTTGTAAATGACAGGAAGATGATCCTTAGAGTAACCTTTCAGGGCCCGTGGGTTGGCAGCGCGAGAAATCAGCATAGGCTTCAGCTTGAAGTTACTGGCAGTGTTCGCGCTAAGCAGCATCGTCAAGCGGTCTTTTGCAGCTTTAAAATCTGGCACTCTTTTCTCCTCCTTGGAGATATAGGTCCTCTCAGGCATCCTCTTCCAAAAGAAACCAGTCTCATCTTCATTGAAGACTTGCTTCAATGAGTTGCCTCCCTCCTGGATAATCCGTTTTAATTCTGGCGGGAATGTCTTGGCAGCAACTGTATGTGAACTGGCAGCTTCACCAGTCATCTTAATATTGTGGAAGTTATAACAATGCTTAAATCATTGAAACTATCCTCGGCTGGCTGTTTCCTTCACGTCATCAAACTGGGATGTGGCCTTATGCTGGATAACCATAAGGCTCATAGGGGCATTGCATTGATTTTGGTCCCCATCTACATAGCTAACATCTTTTCCACCTTTTCTATCACAGTGCTTCTAGTACGAGTCGTCTTAGTAGCACTCTGAGAAGAACCACTTCCAGCATTAACCTTATTCTTGTCAGCGTTGGTCCAGATAGTAAGCACTGTTGTGGGGGGTTAGACCAAGCACAGTGGCTATGTCCACAGCACGTTTCCCTTTTTCAAATCGGGCTAATACATCCATTTTCGTAGCAAGGGTAATGGTCTTACGTTGCCTCTTCACTACATTAGCATCAGTAACACTTGATGGGCTCTTGGAAGCCATTTTCGAATAGTTAGAGTACAGTTTTAGAGCAAAAACACTTTAGCACGTACGGATGATGTGAAGTCGTAACAGAGACTGGCTTGGCATTGCTTGGGTACGCTGTGACGTTCCGGGAATAAGGGCAGTGCACCGAGCCGAGAGAGCGAAGCGCTGCGAGACAAGAGTGGGTGATGCGCCGTAGAAAGTAGTCCGTGACGACGCAAAATGAAGTAGTATTGTATCACTGGGACGTTAAACAAATTTTGGGCGTCTAAAGTTCAGCGACGTAGTACCGAAACAACAATAAGAGGGACGACGTTAAGCGAGGACTTGCTGAACTATGTTTGTATTGGTACTCACCGATGGGCGGAGGTGGTAGAGCGAATGTGTGGTGGGTAGTGAAGCAGAGGAGGAGGAGAAGGAGGTTGGGAGGGGAGGAGTATGGCTGAAGCAGAGGAGGAGGGTGGGAGCAGAGGAGGTGGTGATTCACTGAGACTCTGCGCCGAGCCGAGAGAGCATAGCAATGCCAGATGAGAGCGGGTGATGCGCCGTAGAAAGTAATATCGGATCACCGGGACGTTAAGCGAATTTTTGTTCTCTAAAGTTTAGCGACGTAGTACCGAAACAATGTTAAGCGGGACAACATTATGCGAGTACATACTGTATTTCTATTGCCACATTCTTTATCATTTGACCTGACAAAGCAACTTATGGCATTGCATGTTTACAGTTCATGCCTTGAGTGCATCTTCCATCCCTTGGTAAAGTGGTGGTCGTAAGTGTTGGGCAGTCTTGGAAACTGTGGTGCAGCAAATGCTGAACGAATCTTGTCTGATGCCATGAATGGTGCTTTTGTTAACTCCATAGCGGCGTGCAACAACAGAGGCGTTTGCTCCATGTTCAAACTCGTCCAGAATTCTCATCTTCTCACCAATGTTAAAGGTTTTCCTCTTCTTTTTCTTACCTGAACTAGGAGTAGTACAGGTACTAATAGTACGCCTAGGCATCTTGGTACAGTAGACAGTAGTAGAGAATGTAGTGACCTTGATTGGAGAGCGAGAGTAAAGCGTCTACATGCGGTGAGAGCCGAATCAAGACTGAGCGGGCGAGCGTGAAGGCGTGAGTTAACGGCCACGTGGCGCCTCTGTTTGCCATGGCGATAAATTTGAAATATTTCCAGCCCGACTACCCTTGTGAAATAGAAAAAAATATCGCTATATATATATAGGAACATTTCGATAATTTTGATAGCCTCGATATCAAAAAATCTCTACAAAAAGTTGTGATATAGCTCTACCCTATTGTAGTTAGTTGACCGAGAAGTAGCAGTGAACCACACATGCTGTGGCGGCAGGACAGACTGGGTAGATGTAAACAAACTCCACTCGCCAAGCGGTGCTTTTGGCATGGAATTTAATGGAATCACGGAAATTTAATGGAATGTCGCCCGATTTAGTGAATTAGTTCGCTAAATTGAGCAAAAATGACAGAAATTTGATTTAGTGAAAATTTTGATTTAACGGAAAGGGGTGGCTCGAATTAGTTCATTAAATTAAGAAAATACTGTACATGCTCCTACCTTCTCTTATGTTTTCCCAAAGCCAAGCACGTAAGTTAAATGTTTGTAAGATGCGACACAAATGTATGCTGATGTTACATATATTGAGGCTTGAGCATATTTTGATTCTGTTTTCCTGAAGAGTTGCTGTAGGAACCTTAAAACTACCTTATTGGTTGTGACGTGGATTTTTTTTTTTTTATACGAAGAACAATGAATATAGTCATTGTTTTTGTAAGGAATTTTAGGTGGTAACATGTGCATCTCTCACTACTATCATGGGTTCAAGTCCTGGCCTTAACACACATGGGGAGTGTATTATCCAGTGTGACCTTACCAAACATTGCATGGTTTTTCCGGGAACTCCGGTTTAATCCTCTATTATTACTGGATGATAAAGTTCATTACAATGTAACAAAGAAGAAACCTGAATTATTACTAAGAAGATAGCTTGGAAGTGAAAGATAAATTGGTATAGTACTGTAGTGTATTCTTAAATGTGTCTCAGGTATGGAAATTGATTTTATTTTAGGATATAATTAAATATTGATAGTGTACAGGTACTGATAACCATCTTGGCTTGTACTTTAATATATGAATGAAGGGCCAGTATTCATGAATTCCTGCTTTAAAGAACTTTATTACTAATGAAACTTAGGTTTTGATTATTTGAAGTCCTGTATTGTATTTAAATTCTAATAACTGTGTTCTGTTTTAATACTTGTGCATATTACAATTTAAAATTTATTTTCTGAGCTAAGTAATAGTTAAATGATATTGATTTACTTCATTACTCTTTCAAGAAGATGCAAAGAATCTTTCGGTGAAGTATATAAAAACAGTTGGTGAAATTCTTCTAGACTGGTGATGGAACCGGACGTGTGGCGACCTTGGTTGGTGGCCGAGGGGCAGGCGGACCAGCTCACTTTATTCCTCTCACAGCAAAACTTAATTCAATATCTGTACTGGGGTCTGGATCAAGACCTTCTCGTTCTACTGTTTCAGTACCAGCATCTCGTAGTCAGGCAAGTAGTTTGTAAACAATTAGTGTATAATGATTAATATGACATAGTACTGTACAGTATTTGATGACTCCAAAAATGAAGGTAACAAAGCACCACAAGAGGGGAACTCCTGAGTCCATTTGATCTGCTTATCCGTATATCTTTACTATTGAATCTCTGGAGAATTAATATCGCCCTTTTAACCATCTCCCACAGTTATTTAAGTTGGCACAGTCCAAGTGAGGAAAGTTTTTGTTAAATCACGAGCCTTGACTTGAATAAGCGACACCCAGTATTGATATAACATAGTGACTGTACCTCCTGAAATGTTTAAGATGGCTAATAATAACAAATGATGTTTTACACAGTTCTTTAGATTCATGCAAAATTTTGTCGGTAACCTTTGATTATCGGTGCCGAAAGGGAGTTGCCTTAAAACTTTGCTTCAACATAACCTGATGGTAAATGGGTCACCAGAGGTGTGCCCATGCACAGTCTTTTCAGGGCTGGTGCCCTGAATTTGTGGTGGTTAGTGTGGGGGAGGGAGAATTCCCCTCTGGTTTTACCCAACGGCTGCCATAAAGTAATTAATGGTAAATCCACACAGGTGTGGAAAATGGCCATAAAAAAGTTGATAATGATACTATGATGTACAGTATATGCTTACATTGCCTTTTGGATTACACTTTCTTCATGTCAAGAAGTACTTTTTTGTATTCAGAGTATTAGTTACTGAGAGTTATAGAAGACTGGAGTGCAGGGCCGGGTTCAGGAGTGGGCAAAGTGGGCAGCTGCCCAGGGGCCTCCACATATTACAATATTTTATTTATTTCTTCATTCATTTGGACTATTTTTATTTTCATTCATTAAAATTCATGTTTATCTATTCCATCACGTAAAACTATGTTCAGCAAGAATCGTGATAGAAATTAGGCTTGCTACTCCTTGAAATTCATGAATAATGCAAAGAATCATCTCTCTGTAATAACTAATAATATATTCTTTTCTGTAAAGTCTCTTGAAAATTGTTGACATGTGCCGTAGTAGCTATATCAGGTGCTGGTCGACTTAAAACCACATGAATGACTCCAGTCATGTCTCACTTTTGTGTGTGTGCGTGTGTTGGGAATTTGTACACTATCAATAAATATACAGTTGATTAAAAATTTCTCAATGTTCTAATTTCCTCAATATAACTGCATATGGCTTCAAAATTCTCCAAAAGAAGTGTTCAAATTTCAAAATTTTCCCCGGGGGCTTACAGTGCCCCTCGGAACTCCCAGATGTTTAGGCTCGCTTCACTCGCCACCCCACCCTCTTGGGTAGTTATAAAGAGGGGGGCCTCCACAAAGAGGCTGCCCATGGGCCTCCACAGGTCGAAATCCGGCACTGCTGGAGTGTACAGTAGTAAGTGCTGTATGTATATTAAGAGTTATCAATCCAAATTTTTCATATTACAGGTTTTGTAGTTTCTTTTGATGATAATTTTGAAATGTAATTGTATGATTCATGATAGGCTATGAAGATATGATGATGATTTTTTTGATGTGGCAGTAAGATGTATAACTGCCTGCAAGATTACTGTTCCACCAATTCGTGGTGATTCCATACATGTGGCAACGTTAGTGTTGAATGAGACAAACAGTTTCTAACAGCATTTATGAATGTGAACTCCTGTATAGCAGTGTCTAATTAATGAAGTCTTAATGAAATTAGTGCTAAATAATGTGACTGGCTTATAATTACAGTCTGTCCCTTGTTATGAACCTTTGGTTCACCAAAACCTGAAGTTACCAAAATATTTAAGTATTCTCATGGTTTGATTGCAATTGAAAAACTGGTTCTGATTTTATTCCGTGTTTTATAATATTTTCTTAAATGATAAAGAAAACATGCTGAAAGAATGCACTTCCATGTTACCAATATACAGTGACCCCTCCGTTAACGAACTCAATCCGTTCCAGAAGGTCGTTCGTTAACCGAAAAGTTTGTTAACCGAAACCATTGTTTCAATGGGTTTTTGGGTAATTGGTTCCAGCTCACCGAAAATTTCCTAAATTCAACAAAAATGGTAGAAAAGTTCACTTACTTTGAGGTGTGTATGTAGAAGGCTCCTGGATGATGATGATGATGATGATGATGATGATGATGATGATGATGGGATTTGGAATGGGGGTGGAGGAGAAGAAAGAAGAGAAGGCATTGGGGTGGAAGAGAAGTCACCCCATGGTGCCATTTCACCCATAAAATTTTAGCTCTCTTGGTGTAATTCAAGATTATTTTCTTTAAATCAACACTGCACTGCATTATATATTGTCAATATGTAAAATATATTTCAAAATGACCAATAATTTGCTTGGAAACACAGAAAAAAAGCATTTAGTTGAAGAGAGTCTCAAGCAAGATGTTACCTCCAGTGAAAACAGAGAGAGACTAACTCCTGTTTGCTGTGTTAAGAGGCTGGATGCCGCGCATTAAACTAGTCACTTTACCTTCAGTTATGTTCAATAATTGTTAAAATGACAAAAAAATTGAATATTAAACTTTTAAAATTATTGAATAGTATAAACTTCTTGATATTTACTAAAATAGTAAGGAATTTAAGCCCTAGAACCGATTAATGTATTGGCAGACTGATACTAAAGCTGGTTGCCCGGTCAGTGCAAGCGAAAACATGTTGAGGTCGGTTCGTAAGAACTTCGTTAACCGAATTTTTTTTCGTTAACCGAATTGAAGATCCTTATGGAAGGCAGTTCGTTAATCGAAATTACGTTAACCGAGGTGTTCGTTAAACGAGGGGTCACTGTACAGTTAACCCTCGATAACTCGGCACATATGGGGCTCTGGTCTTGCTGAGTTATCTCAAATTCTGACTTATCGATAGAATTTCCCCTCCAACAAAAATGGAACAATAAAAAAATTATTGACCCATATATGTGTACATGTAATCACTAAATGTAAAAAGTAACACATACCAGCACTGCAGGTGAAAAATGAAGCATGATTGTAGGTGACACAGAGGTATGGTAGGTGACACAGAGGTATGGTAGGTGACACAGAGGTATGGTAAGTGACACAGGTATGGTAGGTGACACAGGTATGGTAGGTGACACACAGGTATGGTAGGTGACACAGGTATGGTAGGTGACACAGAGGTATGGTAGGTGACACAGTGGTATGGTAGGTAACACAGAGGCATGGTAGGTGACACAGGTATGGTAGGTGACACAAAGGAATGTTAGGTGACACAGAGGCATGGTAGGTGACACAGAGGTATGATTGGTGACACAGAGGTATGGTAGATGACACAGAGGAATGGTAGATGACACAGGTATGGTAGGTGACACAAAGGAATGTTGGGTGACACAGAGGCATGGTGGGTGACAGGGAGGCATGGTGGTGACCTGAGGTATGGTGGGTGACACAGAGGAATGTTGGGTGTACAGGCATGGTGGGTGACACAGATGTATGTGGGTGACACAGAGGCATGGTGGGTGACAGGTCTGACAGGTGACCTGGGGCATGGTGGGTGACACATGTATGGTAGTTGACACAGGTATGGTGGGTGACACCGGGGCATGGTGGGTGACACAGACGTATAGTGGGTGACACAGGGCATGGTGGGTGGTACTGGAGGCATGGTGGGTGGCTGGGGGGCATGGTGGGTGGCACAGGAGGTATGGTGGGTGGCAGGTGTGGTGGGTGACACAGAGGGGGCATGGTGGGTGGCACAGGGCATGGTGGGTGCTGGGGGGTGTGGTGGGTGACACAGGGGCATGTGGGTGACCTGGGGCATGGTGGGTGACACAGGGCATGGTGGGTGGCTGGAGGGTATGGTGGGTGACACAGGAGGCATGGTGGGTGTACAGAGGTGTGGTGGGTGGCACAGGGTGTGGTGTGGGTGAGCACAGGGCATGGTGGGTGGCACAGGTGTGGTGGGTGGACAGAGGCATGGTGGGTGACTGGGGCATGGTGGGTGACACAGGGGCAGTGGGTGGCACAGAGGTATGGTGGGTGAGCACTGGGGCATGGTGGGTGGCACAGAGGGCATGGTGGGTGACACAGGGCATGGGTGGGTGGCACAGGTGTAGTGGGTGACACAGAGGCATGGTGGGTGACACAGTGTGGTGGGTGACCTGGAGGTATGGTGGGTGACACAGGGCATGGTGGGTGACACAGGGCTGTGGTGGGTGACAGGGGTGTGGTGGGTGACAGGGTCTGGTGGGTGACACAGGGCATGGTAGGGTGAGCACAGGGCATGGTGGGTGACTCAGGTATGGTGGGTGACACAGGGGCATGGTGGGTGAGCACAGGGCATGGTGGGTGACTTGGAGGGCATGAGTGGTGTGGGGCATGGTGGGTGACACAGGTGTAGTGGGTGACACAGGTGTGGTGGGTGACACAGGTGGTGGGTGGACGGAGGTATGGTGGGTGACACAGAGGTATGGTGGGTGACACAGGAGGCATGGTGGGTGCTGGAGGTGTGGTGGGTGACACGGAGGGTATGGTGGGTGACTGGGTGTGGTGGTGACTGGGTATGGTGGTGTACAGAGATGTAGTGGGTGACAGGTTATGGTGGGTGGCACAGGTATGGTGGGTGTGGGGTGTGGTGGGTGTGGAGGATGGTGGGTGCTGAGGTGTGGTGGGTGACACAGGGGCATGGTGGGTATTTGCACAGGATGGTTGGTGACACAGAGGCATGGTGGTGGCCTGGGTATGGTGGGTGTACAGAGGTGTAGTGGGTATGGTGTAGTAGGTGACTGGAGGTGTGGTGGGTGTCAGGTGTGGCGTGACAGGGATGTGGGTGACTGGGGCATGGTGGGTGACACAGGTGTAGTGGGTGACCAGGGGCATGGTGGGTGTACAGGTGTGGTGGGTGACACAGGTGTGGGTGACAGGTGGGTGACACAGGGACATGGTGGGTGGCCAGGTTATTGGGTGACACAGTTAGTGGGTGACTTTGGGGCATGGTGGGTGACACAGGGGCATGGTGGGCGTATGGGGCATGGTGGGTGATACAG